ACAACATTTCAAGGGACATAACAGCGGAGCTGCAGCAAAATGTCAATTAAGGACTGCATATTTGAAGTACCAGATGTTGAAACACCTAGTCGATCCTCTCACTCTTTTGCCTCGTAGCTCTGTACCGGTGTCTTTTATTACTTGTGAATTTACAGAATAAACTTATTAATAATAACTGGTTCGTTCGTTCAGTAAAAAGTCTTCAAGAACCATTCGAGGTTCTTTACAATAAAAAGTGGCGTGCTAGAGTTCAGGCTCTGGAGACTGTTTGTTTCAGTACTAGTGTATGGTAGTCCCGAAGGAGATTTATCTGTAAAGCAAGCAGATTTTACAGCTTCCCTCAAGAAGCAGGAGCTTAACAGGCAAAGCTTTTTGTAGTTCCTGGTTTTGCAGAAGATGGCATTTATATCTTTAGAGGTTCCCATTGCTTGATGGGTTGGTGGGGGGCCTTGAATTTGAGCATACCTCTTTGTAGTTGTGTTCTACTTCTGCATAGAGCAGCTCCGACTAGGCTGATGGAGGGAGCTCATTCTGTAAACTGCATTATTTTATCGGCAATGGAGGCTCTGTCTGTATTTTCCAAGTAGCACATTTGCCGCAGTTCTAATAAAGATGCTTGAAATTTTTGTTCTTCTTATTAAGTAGCATTCTGAAATTCAACATGAAAGGCTACACGATAATTATGAGCGCTGATTTCTTAAATGCAATGCAATATGGGGCTGACAAGCAAAAATTAGTGATTAGGTATAAGGTTTTTGCGTCTCTTTGACCTGGCAAATTCGTTTTTTCCTTTGCTTGGAGCCTATGCTGGCTTTTGCGTGGGAGTTCAGATTCTTCTTCTTCTTAGTTACTTCAAAATTTGGTAGAACGCCATTAGTGAAACATGTTTCGGCTCTTGGGTGTTGCATGGATTGCTATTTTTTAATTACAAAAGTTTTTCATTTTTCGTAAATATTTTCTTTATGTATTTTTCAATCACATTTTAGCCTCACACAAATCACATCCTAAAGAAAATGTGCCACTAATTTTTTTTTTTTTTTCAAAAGACAATTTTTCTGATAAAGAACTATTAAAGACTTCTTTTTGTGCTACAAGTAAGAATCCATATGGTTGACATGACATATAACTCAATATCTATCAATCAAAGCCTCTTCTCACAAAAAAAAAAAAAAAAAGGCCTCTTCTCACAAGTCTTAATCCTTATCTTTTCTTTTTTCACTTGTAACCAATTATAAAAAAAAAAAAAAAAAAATTCTTTCCAAATTTCGTTTTCTTTTTTGTTTTTTGAACTACCCAAATAATAGAACTTATTGTGGCCATTAGCCATTTCAAAATAAGAATTAGTCAACGATAAAACCAAAAAGAATGGTCTCAATTCAAAATTATAATTCCCATTTTTTACAAGGTATTATTGCTCTTTGGTTGGTTTAGATTTTACAAAACTTGATTGTAAAAGCTAATTATGGAGAACAGTCAGAATCAGCAAAAGCTATTTTTTTGAGTGATTATAGATTTTAATTTTTGCGACCATTATAAAATCTATAATCAAAATAATCGAATCGAGAACGTTAAAAAATTATTTACGTAAAATTAGAATGTATAATCAGTTAAAATAATTAAATAACGAAAACGTGTCCTAAAAGTCGCTAAATGACATCCCCGTCCGTCTTGAACATGTTTAAAGCAGTAACTATGCATGATCAAACTAATAATAGGATGTTTTCTTGCTTGCATTAGCCATTGTAGATTATAGAAAACACAAGGAAAGCTAATCTCAAACGAATATTCGAACAATCAATCATTCCAATCTTCCCCAATTACCTAATTTAGTTTTGCTCTCAATTCGTTTTTTAATCCCACTGCCCTCTCTGCTAAAAGTTTTCTTTACTGCCCAACTTCTCCCGAAGGTCAGCTTCTATCTATGTTACCCTTTTTCTTTTTTTTTTGGTTTCTTTTATTATGTGGGGTGGACTTTGATTGCTAGAACAATTTATCTAGAATGCATGTTTTGAATCTATTTTGTTTCCTACAGTTTATGTGATTTGTATGTTTGGATCTCAAAAAGGTTGCTTGGTTTTGAATTCTTGTAACCTGTGATGTTTGGAATCGGGAATTGTTTTTCCAATTGTTGAAGTTATGAGACGAGAAAAGTTTGTAACTTTTCCAAATTATTTCTTTATTCCGTTGTCGTTGGATAAATTTGTGCAAGATGCCAGTTCAAGGTTGGTGATTTTTACTTTTGTTTGGTGGCCTGTTTTCTTTCTGCCGTGTATCGTGGCTTTTTCGTGGCTTTTTTTTCTGGAGTAATTGATTGCTAGGTGGTCCATATACTAAGCTTTATCTGCATGAATTTGGTTTCTAGAATTGGAAGCAGAGAAAGTATCTGATTGAATCTCAATTGGGTGGTTGTTTTCTTCCTGTTTTCTTTTCCAATATTTGAACCTTTTGATGTTCAGTGAGTATGTATTCATAAGCTTTGGATCCTACATGCAGAATAAAGCATTGTATTTAATTGGTATAATGGGCCTAGGTTACTTTTATACTTCTAAGTGATCTATTTGCTGATTGATGATAATGTGGGCTAGGGATTCTATTCAAAATTATTGGTTTTAAGCTTAACTTATGAATGACTTGTTTCCCTTGGTAGCTAGAGGAAGAAAACTTATACCTTTACATTCTTTTTGTTTTTCAGAAGGTTAATATCTGATAAGGCAAATCTCCTTCCTGGAGCAAAGAAAGGAAACTACTTTATGAAAAGCAATCTGCCCAAGGGGCTAACTAATCTAGTCTACCTGTCCTGGGAAATTTTTGAAGTTGCGAGTCTGTCGTTTAGTTATGATTTAGATAATACTCCACATGATTTATTGTGTTTCCTTTCCTTATGGTCGTGTTATCATGGTTCACTGTGTCGATCTTTTAAAGGATAGATCTGTGGTTTAAATTAGCCTTGTATATGTTGTCTGCATGCATTAAGTAATTATGCACTTAATGGAATGCCTGCGATTCCTTGGCAGGGGTTGGTTTTGTGTCTTTGTACCAGGATTTGTCCTAGGTCGAGTTGAACGTTTTAGTTCTATGGAATCAGATTCAGATAGTAGCACTTCAACTGAAATTAGTGATGGTTGGTATGATGGTGTCAGGCAATACGATCCAGTGCAGTCATCACTGATACCTGGGCTTCCTGATGATATTACCTTTTTCTGCTTGGCAAGGGTTCCTAGGAAGTATCATGCAGTCCTGAAATGTGTTTCAAAGCGATGGAGAGATTTAGTTTCTAGTGAAGAGTGGTATTTATACCGGAAAAAGCATCACCTGGAGGAGACATGGATTTATGCTTTGTGCAAAGATGAGTTAGACCACCTTGGCTGTTATGTTTTAGACCCCAATCGGTTACTAAGTGGGTGGAAGCGCATCCAGGGCCTTCCTGGTTGTTGTAAAAGGAGAAGAGGCATGGGCTTCGAAGTGTTGGGAAAGAGAGTTTACCTCATTGGTGGCTGCGGTTATATTGAAGATGCTACCAATGAAGCCTATTGCTATGATGCTGGTACGAACTGTTGGAGTGAAGCTGCTCGCTTGCCAGTTGCAAGGTATTGATATAGGCATGTAATCTTGCTAATTATGCCACTCTTTATGATGATTGGTGAAATCAAGTTAATTAACGAATAACTTTTCCTTGCCGAGTAAAGTTTAGTATTTGTAGATATTTTTTCCCCCTTCCTTTGGACTCATTAGTTGACAAAATCTCTATATGATTTTGCTTTAGTTTTCTTCTTTCTGCTTGTGTAGCCAACTTTTGATCGATTAAAATGCTTGTTAACTCTTCTGAGTGCTCTGTCTATATGAACCAGTTTATGTCTTTTTCTCTTGCCTTTTGTTTGCCGAAGTTGTGAAATGTTGAAATATGGAAGTTCCATGACATGTTCCATGGTGGTTGTAGTTTGATTGCAACCTGTTATGAAGAGATACCGATCTAGGCATTAATCTGTTGGGTGATTTTCAGGTGCTATTTTGCCTGCCAAGCTGTGGATAACAAAATCTTTGCCATTGGTGGTTCAGATCCTGGATCAAGCAATCTGCAGTCCTTGGATGCTTATGATCCTCAGACAAATTGTTGGAATTCGCATGTGGACCCTAATGTTCTTGATGATATTGAAGATTCAGTAGTCTTGGATGGGAAAATCTATGTTCGTTGTGGTTCGTCTGCTGTATCTTCGCATGTATATGCTGTTGCTTATGAACCATCAAGTGGTACATGGGAACAGGCTGCTCCAGATATGGTCATGGGCTGGCGGGGTCCTGCTATCGTTGTGAATGGGACTCTTTATGTCTTGAACCAGACTTCAGGAACCCAGTTGATAATGTGGCAGAAGGATACCAGACAATGGATCTCTGTCAGGAGATTTTCATCTAAATGGACGAGGCCACCATGCCGGCTCGTAGCAATTGGGGAGGACATATTAATTATTGGCAAGGGGCTTAGCACCATGGTGTTTTCTACTAAAAATGCTGGAAAAATGGATGGAATAATGTTGAGCTCGTCGTTTCGAGGGTTAAATTCTGACTTAGAAGTGATAAATTGTAGATCTATTGCAGTCTAGAACTCAAAAAAACTGACTTCCAGCATATGTGGATAGTTAACATCTCTTTTCTTCCCATATTTTATGGTGCTTTCCCTTTCTTTGAGTTCTATGCATCTCCTTCAAAAAAAAAAAAAAAAAAAGTTTCTATACATCCAGGTGGGACTTTCCTTTAAGGAATTATTTTTGCTAACTTTAGGGAATTGTTTGATCTTTCTATTGCTTTGGGTATGAAGTCACTGTTCTTTCTACTGCTTTATTTTTAGAGTAATAACACTCAAGACTGTTTCAATTTTGGTAGTACTGTCTAAATATGATCCTTTCCTGCAGAAAATTTTGCCAATTTAACCACAAGTAGTAACATCCTGTCATTATTTTATGAAACAGCCATGCCAAAAATGAAACTGCAGAATTATGCTCATTTTCCACGCAATCAGCGCAAAAATTACTTATGTGCACCCGAAACAAGAGTTGAAATGCAAAGCTTACAATCCTACAGTAACAATAAACATGAAAATATAGCAGCAGAAGGTTAGAGTTCTCAAAATATTTGCAGGACCGACTGTGCAAGCATGAACTATCTTTTCTTCTGTACAACAATAATCTTTTGGACCACTTACTCTGAAAATATTTCTGCAGTGTATATAGCACAAACTAACCAAGGGATTGGCAATCTCCACACATGGACCTCTGGATCTCCATTATCATCTGCTGAACCTAGATCATGTTACATATTCAATCAATTCTATACAATTACAACAGGACAATCATTACTAAACCTAATGTCTCGAGGTTAACAAGTCTCTCTTCTTTGCTGGTGAATAGCTGTTGAACTCAGCAAGAAGTTGTCAAAGCAGAAAACACAAATCCTCTTCAAACAGAGACTATAACCAAAATGACAAATTGCAAAAACAAGTTGATCAGCTGCTCCTTTTCCTTTTGAAGGCAGGATGGATGATAATTCCATTACACGAGTCCAGGTTATCAATTCTTGCCATACAATCCTTCATCCTCTTCAAGACAACCAGCATCATAGAAGCATTATTTGAAATCTTCTGTTTGAGAAGCCTTATCTTCTCAGTTTCCTGACTCTCTCCTGTTAACAAGGCCTCATTACCCGACCCAATAGGTCTGACCACATCTACACAAAAGAAGAGGGGTGAGATGCACAACTACATAGAGCAAAGGAGACTTCACTTCTGAGGAAGTCACAGAAAACTTGTATCAATGTGGAGGATCTCAATGACATCAAATGCCTTCGAAGAGAAATTGATATAGGGAAATTATTGTGTATACAGATGCAAACCCACCAAAAAAGCGAATTTAGGTTATTGCAAAGCTCAATGGGTATACTGCAAAAAAGTCAACCCTAACCAAGTCGTTTTTCAAACTTAAACCATATATATATTTTTTAAAGTAATTTGTTTCTCTACATGTGCTGATTGTACGAATATATGTGAAAAGTTCTGAATCAAAAGAATGTAAGGAAATTAAAAAAAAAAAGGCAAATAGAAAGAAGAGGAACACCTCCGTCTAAAGGGGGGGTGAGACAAAAGACGGAATGTATAGGAAAAGAATGTAATATTCAGTGGGTCTCTAATTTGAACTCTTCATTAATTTAATCATCAACTTAGGCCAGTCCTGGTTGGTAACAAAGTTACTGATTCTAATTTAGATCCAATGAACACTGAGCCAATAGCCTTGCATATATACTCACTTTGATCCATCAAAAGAATATTTGTATGTTCAACAAGTTAAACAAGGGTTCAAGAAAACTAGAAGCTAAATCGAGACCAGAAAATGAATACAGAAGATAATCAAGAGAAATTCATCCACATTGAACATACAAGTTTGTAATGTCCATAATCTCACACTTAACCAGTACTTTTTCTTCAGAGAAGGATATTCCACGTCTCAACTAGAAATCAATCCATGCCAAAAGTCCATCCGCTAAGAAGGGCAAAAGGTGAAAGAAGCTGCAAATAACTACAACTTTCAAATTTCATCAACAAACACTTTCATTTCCAATTTCCTCAACGGATTAGTTAAGGATAAAAAACTAACAAATGGAGAAGTTTTGGCATTCCAAGATTCCTTTCAAAAACTCCACCTTCAGATTTCTGACACGTGCAGTACAGTGACATTTCAATTTCTTCCTCACCATAAAATCAAGAACTAACCAATTCTTCCCAAAATATTCTCCATCAATAATCTTTTCAATAGCTAAAACTGTGTAACCCTGTAATTACCTACAAACTATACCATTTGAAGTCAGTGGCACAAAAAGGAATTCTTATTTAAAAACTCATCTTTAATAGAACAGACGCATAACAGAGAGTGGCAGAGCCAGACATCAACTAAACTACCAATATACGCTACTTCCAACAGGCTAATCATTAGAAACAAAGAAGACCCCAAACAGCAATCGAAAGAAAAAAAATCCCAAAATGAAAAGAAGCATCTTGAACCCTTTTCATCAGCATCGTCAGCTAACAACTGCAAACACAAAAATCAGCTACTCCAAAAAAATTGACTATGAGCAAAAAGGGAAAAGAATCAAAATTACAATTCTTTGGGTTATGTAAGAAACAACAACTGAGGGTAACGAAAGAGCCGCGAAAATGTACCGGGGTTAGGGTCATGAGTGGGTCCGGGTTGAGATTCGGGTCCGGAGTCGAAATGGGTCGGGAGAACAGGCCTCTGAGCAGCGAGAATTGAGGAAAGCGCGGACTTGAGCTGGCCCGGGAGTGTGGTTCTGTAGTTGAGTATTTCCTGGGCCATTTCGTTTACTTCTGCTTCTAGCTTTTCCAATTCGTCTTCTTCTTCGCCTTCACCTTCACCTTCACCTTCACCTTCCCCTTCCTCTTGGTGCAATCCGAAGTCATTGTGCTGTAGGGCTTCTTGGGTTTGTCCCTGGCTCGCCATTTCTTCCCGTGTGCGAGAGAGGAGGGAGAGGAGCTGCGAAGTGGGAAGGATAGACCGTGAAATTTTGAAACTTTGAAGTGAATTATGGACCGGTGGTCTAATTGCGCAATTTTGAATAAGTAATGGCAAGCGAAGCGACTGCATGGAACTGGAATTGCTCTTTTGGCCAAAAAAAAAATAAAGAACAATTTGAAGTAATTATAATTTTGGATTTGATCAAGGGTTTAGAAGCAAAAAGAAAAGGGGCTAACAGATGAAAGTATCGAATTTGACACGCTCGGCTTGATTGACATTTCTGAGTCCTAAATAGTAAATACTCCACTACTATTTTGGTGATCGCACCTCCTAAGTCCATAATAAATGCATTGGATCCAATTCTATGTGTACACAAGTCCTGTGTTTGATAAATCGATTCAATATTTAAATTTAATAGAATTAGATCTTAATATATTCGGACCGTGTTTGATAATCAAAAATTGAATGTCTGAATTGATTAAGTGACACTAAATTTTCTAGATAAAATTTATTCCAAAAAATAAGTAATAAATTATTCACTTATCACTGAATGTGATATAAACTTAAATGCGTTTGATTTAACATTTAACAATTCAATAATTTAATAGATTCAGATTTCAGCTTTCAAACTTCAGTCTTATCAAATCCACCCTAAAAGCAAATTTGTGAGTCAATCCATCTCCATATACAATTTTTAAAACATTTATTAAAGAATATTTATGTCTTTTACTGAACAGTGAAATTAGTACTGTATAGTAACATTAAGCATTAGGCGCACAACATTATTGTGTAGCCACCCCAATTAGATGGGGCACCAAAATTTTGTGTAGGTCTTCATGCAATAATATTGTCGTTTTTTTTTTTTGTAATTGTGTTTGGATATAATTACTGTTATGATGGGATGTGTGTGATGTAATGTATGTTAAATAAAAAATATTATTGAAAGAATAAATAATTGATTGAAAATTGTAATTATGATGTAAATAAAATAATATTTGGAACTGATATTGCCAAACATCTTGTCAATTATACTATACTTAAACACTTGTGTATATATTCACTGAGAGTGTGAATCTCTTCCCCTTTTTTTGCTTCCATTGCTCAACTTGTCCTAGCTAACTTGCATATATCTTTGTGTGATAAAAAAGATAATTATATTATTGAATTTGTTGGATATCATCCAATGCGAATTGCTTAATAAAGTCAAAGGTGCATAAAAATTTGACAAAAATAAAATGACATCTTAGAATCTCAAATGTTTACATCTTTTCCCCATGGCTAAAATAAAATAGGCCAAAACTTTCTCCTCAAACTCTAGAAACAGAAAATTACAAGAATTGTATATATTTTATAAATCAACTATTCCCTTAGTTCCATTGTTAACGTTGTGTTTTTATTTTACTGATGTTTCAAAACAAGAGTCACCACTCCAAATTTGACATGTGTCTTCTAATTTTGACATTTGAAAAAGTAACATTTTAAAATTCCAATGCACATTTATCAAGGAAATAATTTAAATTTAAAAGATATATATGTAAATTCAGTAATATCAACTTACATAATTATTTATTTCTAAAAAATGACTCTAATATTGGAATAGCTGAGGGTCAGAATCTAGAAAAAAAAAATTTTTGAACGAAGGAAAGAATCTAGGACTTCACATCTCGGATTAGAGAGAATCTAGGACTTTTTTTCCTTTTTCTGAAAGAAAGAAAGAAAGAATATAGGACTTCGCATCTCGGATTAGCCACATATTTCAGGACTTTTACTGAAAAGCCTAAGCATTGGAGCTTATTCTATACGAAAATATCTGTCTCCACTCTCCAGTTAGCATTGCTTAAATCGAAACTGCCCACCAATTGAAAGACAAAATGCATGCAAAAAGGAAGCACCAATAAGGTTGGACGAAAAGTTTCAAGACCATGCTTCTTTGATACCTCCGAACTCGATGGCTGTGTTAACCCTTTTAAATCTTTTTCTATGGGAGCCTCCGGAACCATATAACAGAGCCTTTACTGTCATTTCAACATCATCTGCTAAGTTTATTATGAGCTGAACTAATACTAGTGTACTTCCACTTCTCTTTAAATATATCTCTCCGTTTATATCAGTTAACATTGTACTGGGATCATTCCTTTTTGTCTGAAAATCACACACTCTTTTTATGGAATATCACAAGTCTCAGGTACTGAATCTCACGGTAATATTCCGGTTTATTCTTTTGTTTATTGCTACTACTTGGAAGCGTACAACTGGGCACATAAATGTTAATTCATACTGTTGTTTAGCTGATATATCTGGTTTTGATGTTTTCTGTTTCCTTTGTAGTTTTTTCTTTTTGTTATACTCCTAAGATTTTTTGCAGCTTTGGCTTTTTATGGGGTGCATGCAACAGGTCTTTCTATTCTTGAAATTGATTTGGATGCCTGATATACTGTAAACTTACGCAGAAGAGGTGATGGGCAATGGCACTAGCAAGTTTATGTTTCTTGTTCAGAAATCAGAACCTTTGCCATTTTCCTGAGTAGGTGTTGGGACGAATTTAGATAGATTCTGAAAATCTTCTGTTAAAGCTAGTAATTTATGTTTGATTAACCAGCCAAGACATCATCGCTCAGAGTGAGGTGGGGTGAAATCTTGAACCTATTCTGTTCATTGCCATACATACAATAAAGGGAACACTTAAAGAGAAAAAATAGAAAAGGACTTGGATTCTCATGAGATCATGTCGTTAGAGAGATCCTTTGTACATGGCATTTCAAGATTTGTAACGGAGATTGAGTTATTGTTGCCCTTTTGCCATACGTCAGCTAGGAAGGAATATCTGGAAATAGTGCATCTTATCCATATTGAATCCTTTGGGAACTTCTCTGTGAATTCAGTATGCAGAAAGCATTCTTGTATCAAAATAACAGGATATCCACAACATTTAGCATATTTCAGTTGCAAAGGCCATGCTTCTCAATGAAAAACTCCAGTAATTTCACTTCTGATATATGGTAATGCTTAAACTTTATTGCCTCATCTTTCCAGCTGCTGAAGCAAACTAGGAGAATTGATTCAGAAAGTCCATATCGCCTTCTTCACTGCTCATCGAAGGGTGACAAAAAGGGTGTGGTTCAGGAGCTGGAGAAAGGAGTGGAACCCACTCTGGCAGACTACGATAAGAGAACTGCACTTCATTTAGCGTCTTGTGAAGGTTACATTGAGGTGGTTGTCTTACTTCTTGAAAGAGGAGCAGATGTGAACTCCACCGATAGATGGGGTCGTACTGTAAGTTCATGCTCTCGCTCTGCATGGGTGACAAATAGCATAGTTTATTTCAGTGATTAGCTGCTGGCTTATATTCTCTTTTTGGTTGCGTGTATGTGTGCAAAGGTTGTACTCTTACTATTAAGTGGTTCATTGCTGTTGCGGATTTTACAACAGAATTTCAATTTCTTCACTTCTTGTATAACATCCATCTGCCTCATTTCATCCTTTTCCTTTGCTGTGCCTTTCCCTAGCTAACGAAAGAGCAGTGACTATATGTTATCTGTGTGTTTTGATGTTGTTCGCCACATGACTTTAATTCTAAAGGAATTTGTCTACCATTATGAGTAAAAATTCATGTTTTAGTTATGTGCTATATTTAAGTTGTCACTCATGAATGACTTAGAAGTTTGTTATCTTAAACAAAGCATATATTATTACTCGTAAAGATTTACTAGCTGTTCTACCATTGTAAAAAAATTTGTTGACAATATAAGTTCATGGTTCGGCATATTACATTCTGCTGTAAAAGTACAACAGCTAGCCTGTAGTTTCACAGTAAGAAGAATACTTGTCTCTAAGACAGATTTCCTTTGTCATTCATGATTTTTTTTTTCAGCAGAAGACATTCTTGGTTTCTTCCTTTTTCCAGCAATACTGGACTTCCAGAAGAAAAATATATATATATATATATATATATAGCAACTTGGATCTAGCAGTATCCAGCTTCTGCCTTGTATTCTTGCTGTCTGCTATATCATAATATCCACTTTTCAACTGGTGATCCCAGATCAACTTGTTTTATCATCCATAATGAATTTAGTTATCTTCTTCCACTATAGAAGTATCCTTGATCCCAAATTCAGCACAATTGCTAATACCAGATTCAGAGGGAATGTTAAGCCAGTACCACTGGTTCATGCTGTCATTCACTGTTTGATTTTCTGTTCTTAACAAACTGATGCAGATAGAAAATTCTATTTCTTCAAAAGTTTTTGTATTTCAACAATATAATTAATTGACACGGTGCCTGTGATGAAATCATTTGCAGCCACTGTCAGATGCTCGCAGCTTTGGCCATGCAGACATTTGTAAGATTCTGGAGAAACATGGTGGAATTGATCCGGTAATGTAGCCTCAACATACTTCTCTTGTGAAGTAAGTTTTAATGAGGGAAAACAATAGAATTGCCCAAAAAAAAAGGTTTAAAGTGTGTGTCAATAGATTTACCCTCATTGCATCAAGATGAGCATCTCCCGTTAGCCTGTAGTGCTGTTTTGCTTCTTGGATGTGACAATAGTTCCAAATTGATCAGCGGACCTGTTATGCATCAAGAGAAAAAAAAAAAATTGAATGAAAGATTTAGCAAAACTTTTCTTTCTACTCCCTTCTCTTCCTAATTTCTACCTTCTTCTGAAGGGTTTACTTTTAAATTGTTTAGAAATCTGAGCATACTGGTGCTTTTTTCTACGGTAATGAGTCCTCTGACGTGATTTTCATGATTTATCTATTCTTCTAGTCAAAGTAAGTATGGTGCCTTTTTTTAACTCAAAAAAGTTCTCGCCCTCCTTGTGCAGCTGAATTGAGAAAACTTATCTAGATAGGAGAAAAGGCTGGCAACAGTAAAATTTGGTGAGCAGAAACATGCAAATATGAGTATAACTTTAAGTTTTCATGATACACGCACTGTTTTAGTTCGGTGGCAAAACTGGAAAATAAGTGCAATGATCAGGTTCCGTTAGAACAAATACAAAGTGGAAAATCTCAAAAACATTATGAGTTAGTGAGGAAGCTAGCCTCTAACAGTACTACCAGTCCTTTCGAAGTTTCAGTTGCTAG